TATGGCCCTTAAAAGTTCTCATTGATAAACATTGGTCACTGGTCATGCAGTAGTGATGTAACTGGTCATGCAACAGTGACATAACTGGAGTTTACCCCCATCCCCCCCCCACCCTTGAATTTCATGGGGGTGACACCAGAGATTCCGCCCCGCGTGACACCAACTCTAGCGACGCCTCTGGCCCGGGGAAGCCATTAGAGTTGCTTCTGGACTCGCATTACATTTGCAACTCGACTCTGTTAGGAAGCCTAGGAGAACATTACTGAAACAACGAACGAGAGGAAAAGAACCCATTTTAGGCTCTTAGTCAACACTGACTGTAACACTAAACCAACCACGAAGTCAAAATACTCTCTAATAATGCCGTCCTCTCTACTAAAACATTTACGCTAACTGCTGGAGGTGTGCAAGACAGAGTGGTAGCGCCTCCGTCCTCCCGATAGTACGTACAGCAACGTGAAGATCGTCGTATCTGGCGTTGCCACACACCAATATACTAAGTACCTTCCCAGTTTCACATTAAACATATTAAAAAAAAAATGACTCTTTCAAAGAGAGGCACATAGAGGCCGTCAGTTAATTTTTTCCTCCTCTTCCCTAGGAAAATGATTTTAACTTCAATCTTTCATCACCCCGCTACTGCCCACTACCTCCCTTCACGTCCTCTCCTCCTAACTTCCCTTTCTCCCCCTCCCTATACTCTTCCTCCTTCCCCACCCGTATTACTTCTCGTCCCCCTTTTGTTGGGTAATTCTCTAAACTCATCCTGGTGTTCTACCAACAAGGACCACGTCCCTCAACCTGTGCTCTACACACGCCTCTCCGACACCAATAATGTTAACCTACAGGAGTGCACAACGTATACAAGCGCATATTACTCCTCACAGTTGCACGCATGCAAGCATACACAATACAATTACACACACACACAATCGCGCAAACGACACAAACATACACATTTCTGCATGATAATACAATGGCAGAATATACCGGCAACATGTAAATGATACACAATAAGGGATGAGGTATTTTACTGTGAAAACGTATTTGCAGAAATCTAATTAATTGTCGACGAAACGCTAAATGTGTATATAACACAGACTCGTTGTGTGTCTAATATACGCATTTAGGTATACAGACAATAGTACAAATATACGTAGGGAACAATATACATAACACACATGCATACACCTTTGATATACCCTTGATGTGTTTCGAGACAAGCAGGCACACTACCAATACATACACCTAGGCATACACACACTACAAATACACAGTCATGTATATGCACCGCAAATACACATAAGCATACAAGCAAAACAAGTCACTCGCGAAGCTCAAACACACTACTGTTGAGGTTAACAACACACTAGTGTTGAGGTTAACAACACACTAGTGTTGATGTTAACAACACACTAGTGTTGAGGTTAACAACACACTAGTGTTGAGGTTAACAACACACTAGTGTTGAGGTTAACAACACACCTCAACACATCCTCAACACACTAGTGTTGAGGTTAACAACACACTCGACACACTAGTGCTGAGGTTAACAACACACTAGTGTTGAGGTTAACAACAAACTCAACACATTAATGTTGAGGTTAACAACACACTCAACACACTAGTGTTGAGGTTAACAACACACTCAACGCACTAGTGCTGAGGTTAACAACATACTAGTGCTGAGGTTAACAACAAACTCAACACACTAGTGTTGAGGTTAACAACACACTCAACACACTAGTGTTGAGGTTAACAACACACTAGTGTTGAGGTTAACAACACAACCACTAAGTGAGGTTAAACACACTAAGTTGAGTAAACACACTAATGTTGAGGTTAACAACACACTCAACACACTAATGTTGAGGTTAACAACACACTAGCGTTGAGGTTAACAACAAACTCAACACACTAGTGTTGAGGTTAACAACACACTAGTGTTGAGGTTAACAACACACTAGTGTTGAGGTTAACAACACATTAGTATTGAGGTTAACAACACACTAGTGTTGAGGTTAACAACACACTAGTGTTGAGGTTAACAACACACTAGTATTGAGGTTAACAACACACTAGTGTTGAGATTAACAACAAACTCAACACACTAGTGTTGAGGTTAACAACAAACTCAACACACTAGTGTTGAGGTTAACAAACTCAACACACTAGTGTTGAGCTCAACACACCAGTGTTGAGGTTAACAAACACTAGTGTTGAGGTTAACAACACACTCAACACACTAGTGTTGAGGTTAACAACACACTCAACACACTAGTATTGAGGTTAACAACACACTCAACACACTAGTGTTGAGGTTAACAACACACTCAACACACTAGTGTTGAGGTTAACAACACACTCAACACACTAGTGTTGAGGTTAACAACACACTAGTGTTGAGGTTAACAACACACTCAACACACTAGTGTTGAGGTTAACAACACACTCAACACACTAGTGTTTAGGTTAACAACACACTCAACACACTAGTGTTGAGGTTAACAACACACTCAACACACTAGTGTTGAGGATAACAACACACTAGTATTGAGGTTAACAACACACTAGTGTTGAGGATAACAACACACTAGTGTTGAGGATAACACACTCAACACACCAGTGTTGAGGTTAACAACACACTCAACACACCAGTGTTGAGGTTATCAACACACTCAACACACCAGTGTTGAGGTTAACAACACACTCAACACACCAGTGTTGAGTTTAACAACACACTAGTGTTGAGGTTAACAACACACTCAACACACTAGTGTTGAGGTTAACAACACACTAGTGTTGAGGATAACAACACACTCAACACACTAGTGTTGAGGTTAACACACTAGTGCTGAGGTTAACAACACACTAGTGTTGAGGATAAGAACACACTCAACACACTAGTGTTGAGGATAACAACACACTAGTCCCACCAACAAAGGTTAGCAACTTCACTTAGAACAAACATCACGTTGACACTAAGAACAAACATCAAATGAAAAAAATATTATTACGACTTTATTCCCTCCTAAAATGGCCACGAGACCTGGTGAAGCAGGGAGGCTTCACCACCTGGTGAAGAAGGGAGGCTTCTCCACTTGGTGAAGCAAGGAGGCTTCGCCATTTGGTGAAGCAGGAAGGCTCACCACCTGGTGATGCAGGGAGGCTTCACTACATAGTAAAGCAGGGATGCTTCGTCACCTGGTAAAGCAGGGAAGCATCGCCACCTGGTGAATCAGGGTGGCTTCACCTGCTGAAGCAGAGAGGCTTCACCACCTGGTAAAGCAGGGAGGCTTCGCCACCTGGTGAAGCAGGGAGGCTTCACCACTTGGTGAAGCAGGGAGGCTTCGCCACCTGGTGCAACGTGAATATGTTCCGAGGGTCAACACTCGTGCAGTCTGGTCCCAGACCAAGCCACGCAATGGAAGACCCGATCAACCAGGTTACTGGTGTTAACCGTTCAAAATCCAACGTAAGAACGACATCTCAGCTGATCAGGAACCTGTCCAGTTCCTTTTTGAAAAAAGCCGGAGGTGTTTTGTTAATCCGCGGTTATATATGGGGTGAGAATGTTGAAAAGTCTTTGTTCCTTCACAATGCTTGAACTTTCTCTTTTCATTAGGGGAATTTTGCATCATCTGAGCCTCTTACGTTCATGTGGAGTGATTTGTGTGTACATATTTGAGACCAATCCCTCTACAACTTTTCAGGAGTATATTATAATGTGTCTCTCTCGCCTACGTTGCAAGGAGTACAAATCGAGGTACTACAAACGTTCCAAGTATCAATTATCAATGCGAGCAGTGGAAGTTCTGTGTACATTCTCCAGGTCTATAATTTCGTTTGCCTTTAACGGAGCTGTTAGAGTACAGTAGTACTCCAGCCCAAAGAGAACAAGTGACTGAAAGATTATAATTACAGGCTTGTCATCTCTTGTTCTATGTATCCAGCCTACTATTTTCCTTGTTGCTGTGAAGTGACACTATTGTGATCTTTGAAGATGAGACCCCAATGTAAATAAAGGACCCCAATGGAAATAAGTCACTCTGCCTGACTTTTTTGGGTTATCCTAGGTTCTCTACACATATGCTGCTATGTATGATAATCTATGTAACTGTTTGTGTATACCTGAATAAACTTACTTACTAACTTATCTTGCGACATAGTCACTCCTATGTCTCTCACGTTAGCCTTATGCTCTGAGTGATTCGATTTTGTTTCACGCTCTCTTTCAGTCTTTATTTCATTAGTCTGTCCATAACGGAGTAACTGGAACCTGACCTCACTGAACATCATACCATTAATGGCTCACTGGAACACTTTGTATATATCAACTTGGAGGTCTGATGTATCCTTAATGTCTGTTACTCTCACACTGAATCTAGATTCATCTGCAAAGGATGAAAAGGTTCTATGATTTATTTCTCTATGGGGATATGAGAATGAAAAAAAAGAGAACTATGGCTGCCCTCGACTGCACTCTGTTGATTATTACACTCTGGATTATATTCGTTAGGAAATTAAATATTCATCTGAGCAATTTTCCAGTTATATTTTTGGCACGCATTTGTGAGCTATTACACCACGGCCACACTTGTCAAATGCTTTTGCAAAGGCTTTGTACATTACATCTACATTTTTTGTCTTCCGGTTCATCCAAGACCATGTCGTAATGGCCAAGCACTTGCGAGAGGCAGGAGCGACCGGTTCTAAACCTATGATGCCCTGGGATGTATAACTGCTGAGATTCCAGGTGATTAACAAACTTGTTTTTTAAGACATGCAGGGAGGCTTCACTACGTGGTAAACCAGTAAAGCAGAGGCTTCACTTGGTCATGCAATAAAGCAAAGAATTCCCCACCTGGTCATGCAATAAAGAACAAAAGTCTCCACCTGGTCATGCAGTAAAGCCAAGACTTAAGCTAGCAAGCATAAACCAGGAGAGATTCAGAAGGTAAGACACAGGAGAGAAGCCACACACGAAGCATAACACTTACCCGCTCAGGGAGGTGGAAAGGTCTGCCAACACCTGGAGTACCCTATAACACAAGCACAAGTGTGGGTTAGTACCAGCTGTTTAAACCCAGCGTAGAGTAATACCTGCGTAGGATGACAGGAGAGTACAGCTCACCACAAGGAGATACACGCAAAATCTTATCTGCCTTATATATGAATGAAGGATCTTTCATGTTCGATATGAAGGCTGTTACTAGTCGTGTCTTCCTCAATAATCTGACTCTTGTCTCACTTCTATGAGAACATCTGGAGAAGTCCTGTATTCACCTCCACCTGTACCTCTCCAAAACCTATACCTGTCCCTGCACCTGTTAATATACAGGAGACAGACAGACTTGTGACCAGTCGTAATGTTTACCTCACTATACATCAGCTGATGTAAAAACCCAAACAAAACACCCAGCAGCACTAACCTCTACACCAGTAACCAATTATGAAGTCATAAGAAAAGTCCCAAAAAAATATAATTATATATATATATATATATATATATATATATATATATATATATATATATATATATATATATATATATATATATATATATATATATGCAAAACAACCACTCTGAAAGAATAGAGAAATTCCAAGCGCTTTCGTGACTACTCACATTATCAAGGAACTATGAAAGTAAAGCATCCAAGGAAGCTATATAAGGGGTCTGGCCAGCACCTCACTATCAGATCCCACAACGGTTAAACACCTGACGCGCGCCGACCGTTGTGGGATCTGATAGTGAGGTGCTGGCCAGACCCCTTATATAGCTTCCTTGGATGCTTTACTTTCATAGTTCCTTGATAATGTGAGTAGTCACGAAAGCGCTTGGAATTTCTCTATTCTTTCAGAGTGGTTGTTTTGCATATTCTGAAATCACCTGTTTACTGTGATCTTATTGCATATATATATATATATATATATATATATATATATATATATATATATATATATATATATATATATATATATATATATATATATATATAATATGTCGTGCCGAATAGGCAGAACTTGCGATCTTGGCTTAAATAGCAACGCTCATCTTGCCATATAGGACAAGTGAAAATTTGTGTATGCAATAATTTCGCCAAAATCATTCTGAACCTAACGAAAAAATGTTTAGTATTAAATTATTGTAACCAAATCTAAAATATATTTAGTTGGGTTAGGCTAAAAATAAATTGTTCTTGTTATAATAAGGTTAGGTAAGTTTTCTAAGATTCTTTTGGAGCAAAATTAATTTTTTTATATTAACATTAATAAAAAAAACATATCTTTAAACGTATAAGAGAAAATTTTAGAAAGGACTTAATTTTAAATGAGTTCTTGCTAATTGACCAGTTTTACATATTCGGCACGACATATATGTATATATATATATATTATATATATATATATATATATATATATATATATATATATATATATATATATATATATATTAAAATGTAAGCATATGTTCCATGTATTATTAAATATATTAACATGCATATTTTAGAGTGACTGGTCTTTATAAAAACAGTGTCCAGCATAGAGGTGCCAGGTGTAATAGTAGATGAGAAAGGCTTGCTAGTATCCTCCACCAGGCAGCTAGTATCCTCCACTAGGCAGCTAGTATCCTCCACCAGGCAGCTAGTATCCTCCACCAGGCAGCTAGTATCCTCCACAGGCAGCTAGTATCCTCCACCAGGCAGCTACTAGCTTCACACCACTAACCAAGCAAACATCTAACATTGTTTAGCCAGCCAAAAATTATAGCTGAAACTAGAATTTTTTTCCCGCCCAGATCATTACTAATCCCAGGACGGAGAGAATCATCGTCCAATAACACTCATACATCCGCCCTCAACATTTATCATACAGCAACCATCCCACAAAGTGTAGATAATACTAGAAGAGAGGTTTCGCTCTATTCTGTGCCGTTATCAAGTCCAGTATGAAGCGAACCATCGTCTAGATTCCTCTCTGGTTTGTGGGAGAGTTGTGTGTTGTAGGTATGGCATTGTGACTTATATTAAGGTGGTATACAGTAAGGGCTGGACGCAGGTACTCACCGGCATCATGTCTGTGTGGGAGCCGTTAGGAGGCGTGGGGCTGGGTGTGGGGTGACCTGTGGAGAGACAAACACTACTGTTAACAAACAAAATATTAATACTAGTGAGAATGTTTTATACTCGACGTGAATATTTAATGTCGCTCATAAAAGGTTAATACTAGATTTTTTTTTAAACATCTGAGCAATATAGCCAGGAGATGTAGCTCAAATATAGCTGTAGATGAACAGCACAGCCAGTAGCTGTAGCTTAACCTTCTTAAACATAGCTGCAGACGAGCAATATTGCCAGGTGCAATGTCTCAGTCTTCTCAAACAGCTGAAATGTTGTAAATTTAAAGTCGAACTGGAAAGACATTCTCCAGATAACATTATCATAAGCACTTCCAGCATATGAGTTTTTAGTGGCGCCAAGGACAACACGAACAGCAGGAGTGTTTGTTTACTGAGGTGAAGGGTGGGGGAGGACTCGTGCGGGGGGGGGGGGGGGTGCAGGGGAAGGGGAAGGGAGGAGGTAAATCGGGGGGGGGGGGGATTTTCTCTCGTGCGTGGCAATGGAGAACAAAGTCACAGTTTGATCAAACACACCACAATCAGAAGAGGTTATATGCTAGTGTTTATTATTAACTAGGTTGTAATTATCATCTCATGTACAGATTTAGTGAATCGCTTAAAAAAAAATCCTTGTAATGACCTTAAAGCAGAGCGATGTGTTTATTTATTTAAGGTTCTGGATTATCTCTGAAAGAATATAAAAAAATCTGAAATTTTTTTAGACAAACATCACGGGATACCTAATCATCCAGCCATGACAAATGTCTAATGTTGCAGAACGAACGAAAACATGATCAGAGGAGAGAATGGAGTAGTGAATAAGTCTGGATAAACCTGGGAGTAAAGTACGCGCATGTCACTGGTAAAATACACCGACATGAATGTGAATAAGGCACAATAAGCGGTTTATGGCATTTTACTGAGAAGACGTGTGTCGTCCACCAAGGACTTCATCAACCCATCACTCTCATCTGAATTTATTAATACAGATAAATTGATAAATGTCCTAGTAAACTATGATGGGAAGCAGCTGGTGTGTATCAACAACACCTGTTGATACACACAGTCAACTGAGTAACAGTCAACTGAGTAACAGTCAACTGAGTAACAGTCAACTGAGTAACAGTCAACTGAATAACAGTCAACTGAGTAACAGTCAACTGAATAACAGTCAACTGAGTAACAGTCAACTGAGTAACAGTCAACTGAGTAACAGTCAACTGAGTAACAGTCAACTGAGTAACAGTCAACTGATTAATAATCAACTGATTAATAATCAACTGAGCAATAGTCAACTGAGTAACAGTCAACTGAGTAATAGTCAACTGAGTAATAATCAACTAGTAACAGTCAACTGAGTAATAATCAACTGAGTAATAGTCAACTGAGTAATAGTCAACTGAGTAACAGTCAACTGAGTAACAGTCAACTGAATAACAGTCAATTGAGTAACAGTAAACTGAATAACAGTCCACTGAGTAACAGTCAACTGATTAACAGTCAACTGAATAAGTCAACTAAGTATCAGTCAACTGAGTAACAGTCAACTGAATAACAGTCAACTGAGTAACAGTCAAGTGAGTAACAGTAAACTGAATAGCAGTCAACTGAGTAACAGTCAACTGAGTAATACTCAACTGAGTAACAGTCAACTGAGTAACAGTCAACTGAGTAATAGTGAACTGAATAATAGTCAACTTAGTAATAGTCAACTGAGTAATAGTCAACTGAGTAATAGTCAACTGAGTAACAGTCAACTGATTAACAATCAACTGAGTAATAGTCAACTGAGTAACAGTCAAATGAGTAATAATCAACTGAGTAATAGTCAACTGAGTAACAATCAACTGAGTAACAGTCAACTGAGTAATAATCAACTGAGTAATAATCAACTGTTGGACCTGACTAGCTTGTGCTGCTGGGTCTGGTACAGTGCTCCATCCTTGAGTGGGGATGACCAGACTGGGTGGGTCATTGGGATAATCCGGGGGGTGGGTCATTGGTCCAATCCGTGGGGGGGGTGACATGGACCTGCTCCGCATGGGTCAGTAGGCCTGTTGCAGTGTTCCTTCTTTCTTATGTTCTTATGTTCTTATGAGTAATAGTCAACTGAGTAATGGTCAACTGAATAACAGTCAACTGAGTAATAGCCAACTTAGTAATAGTCATCTGAGTAACAGTCAACTGAGTAATAGTCAACTGAGTAATAGTCAAATGAGTAACAGTCAACTGAGTAACAGTCAACTGAGTAGCAGTCAACTGAGTAATAGTCAACTGAGTAATAGTCAACTGAGTAATAGTCAACTGAGTAATAGTCAACTGAGTAACAGCCAACTGAGTAACAGTCATCTGAGTAATAGTCAACTGAGTATCAGTCAACTGAGTAACAGCCAACTGAGTAACAGTCAAATGAGCAATAATCAACTGAGTGATAGTCAACTGAGCAACAGTCAACTGAGTAACAGTCAACTGAGTAATAGTCAACTGAGTAATAGTCAACTTAGTAATAGTCATCTGAGTAAGTCAACTGAGTAATAGTCAACTGAGTAATAGTCAACTGAGTAACAGTCAACTGAGTAATAGTCAACTGAGTAACAGTCAACTGAGTAGCAGTCAACTGAGTAATAGTCAACTGAGTAAGTCAACTGAGTAATAGTCAACTGAGTAACAGTCAACTGAGTAATAGTCAACTGAGTAACAGTCAACTGAGTAATAGTCAACTGAGTAATAGTCAACTGAGTAACAGTCAACTGAGTAATAGTCATCTGAGTAACAGTCAACTAAGTAACAGTCAACTAAGTAACAGCCAACTGAGTAACAGTCAACTGAATAACAGTCAACTAAGTAACAGTCAACTAAGTAACAGTCAACTAAGTAACAGTCAACTAAGTAACAGTCAACTGAGTAACAGTCAACTAAGTAACAGTCAACTGAGTAACAGTCAACTGAGTAACAGTCAACTAAGTAACAGTCAACTGAGTAACAGTCAACTGAGTAACAGTCAACTGAGTAACAGTCAACTAAGTAACAGTCAACTAAGTAACAGTCAACTAAGTAACAGTCAACTGAGTAACAGTCAACTGAGTAACAGTCAACTGAGTAACAGTCAACTGAGTAACACTCAACTGAGTAACAGTCAACTGAGTAACAGTCAACTAAGTAACAGTCAACTGAGTAACAGTCAACTGAGTAACAGTCAACTGAGTAACAGTCAACTGAGTAACAGTCAACTAAGTAACAGTCAACTGAGTAACAGTCAACTGAGTAACAGTCAACTGAGTAACAGTCAACTAAGTAACAGTCAACTGAGTAACAGTCAACTGAGTAACAGTCAACTGAGTAACAGTCAACTGAGTAACAGTCAACTAAGTAACAGTCAACTGAGTAACAGTCAACTGAGTAACAGTCAACTGAGTAACAGTCAACTGAGTAACAGTCAACTGAGTAACAGTCAACTGAGTAACAGTCAACTGAGTAACAGTCAACTGAGTAACAGTCAACTGAGTAACAGTCAACTAAGTAACAGTCAACTGAGTAACAGTCAACTGAGTAACAGTCAACTGAGTAACAGTCAACTGAGTAACAGTAAACTGAGTAACAGTCAACTGAGTAACAGTCAACTGAATAACAGTCAACTAAGTAACAGTCAACTGAGTAACAGTCAACTGAGTAATAATCAACTGAGTAACAGTCAACTGAGTAACAGTCAACTGAATAACAGTCAACTAAGTAACAGTCAACTGAGTAACAGTCAACTGAGTAACAGTCAACTGAGTAACAGTCAACTGAGTAACAGTCAACTGAGTAACAGTCAACTGAGTAACAGTCAACAGCTTAAAATCCAAGGCCCTCACAGCAAAAAGTTACATTTCTCAAGGCACAATACTCGACTCAATGAAGAATTTGTACGAGAGTCGCATCACCAGAGCAAACATAAAATATTTATGTTGGGGTAAACTAAGTCTTTCAATGAACCACATAAACGTGACGTTAACGAGGACAAAGGTCCACTTCACTATGGAAAAGTTAAAGAAACAAAATAAGGGATGAAATAAAATTACAAATAAACTGCAGAATAGAATGCTGTATCTCCCGACAGTTCAAAACCTTGAAGACGCTCAACGTTCTAGACTGGAATTTGGCTGTACTCTCAGTTCCACTTAAGACAAGCGGAAGTGTACATATGGATAATGCACGAAGAAGTTTCACTGAATGCTTTCATACATTGAACTGTCTAAATTATTAGGAATGCGTAAATTTTCTTTAAGCTGTACTCTCTGGAGTTTATGTGAGAATGATAAACATTATGAAGGATATGATTCACATCAGTTACGAGAGTGGGCGACATGGAAGATGGTGGAAAACACCTCAGTAAAAAACAGGGGCACAATAAATGTACTAAGAGGTAAGTCAACCAGGGACACAAGACTTTATAACATGCCCTCTTCATAAATAAGGAAAGTTACCGTTGGACCACTAGATGCAGGCAAGAAGAACTTATTATTATTATTAAAGATTCGCCGGTATTCTCCCGGCCCGGGCCTTGTCCAAGTGGTGGCCCGGGCTTGGCTCCCTCTTTAGGGAGTGTCTGAGACCTAAGTCTCCCATGGGAGGAGGTACGAGTACCTCCTCATCTTTGGGACCAACTGTCCCCAGGCCTAGCTACAAACTAGGCCTCTCTGGTCTGCTATCCCTGCGTGGGAATGACAGTCTTGTGAGCTGTAAGCTCGGGCTCGGGCACCTACCCTACCCTAGAAGGGCTGGGCATGGTGTCGATCAAGTGGGCAAGAAGAAACTTGAAAACTTGCCTATATATAATATATAAATATAATAAATATAATAACTTGCCAATATGTAATATATAAATATAATAAAGGCTGACGGTTCTTGCAGCACCGTCAGCCTTTATTATATTTTAAGACCGTTATTTAGTAATGTTGACACTAAGCCGGAATGTAACTTCAGTGATCAACTTGGCTTAAACTACACTTCGTGGTGCTCCGGTTACACTTACACCCTCATGAG